TATATTTTTAAAAAGTCAGAAAATATTTTCCACATATCTATGTACATTCCTGTTTTAATTTTAATGGTAGCAGCATCCTTATAAACTATAAACTGACCAAAAAAAGTCACATAAAAATGTTGGCAAGGTCTATGATTATGATCTGTCTCTGACCAAATGGGGGAAATAGAGCCAAGCAGAAAAACAAAGCTAAATGGTAACATCTGGGAAAGACTACTCTCATTACCAAGGGCCCAACTTCTCCTTTGGAGAGCAAGAACCTACATCTTTCTGGAGCTGTGCACTGTACCAGGACTCGGGCTCGGCTGGGGTGAGCCACACATCCAGGGCCACTCGAAGCACATGATTCTCCAACGTGGCAAGACCACTGGCTGACGTGGGTCTGCAGGTGCTTCGGGATTCCTGGAGAAGATGGTCAAGGGCTTTGGGGATGAGAGATGCCAGGCCTAGTGAAGGGTGGAACTCCAGCAGATAAATCTTTCTCAATGCTGGGCTTGAAGAAGAGGACAATTTAACAACTATTTTAAACAACAAACATTTTAATGTATTTCCAAAGATATTTGAATTTTATATTTGTTAAGACCAATACAACAGCATCTATTATCCAGAACATTCTAAGAAACTAGGAGTTCCAAGAACCACCAAGGCCATCCAGGGACCCCAGCCAGGCTTACAATTCTTTGCTTTAAAGTGAACCCCTTTAAAACTGGAAGACATTCAATATATTCTAAAAGCCCAATTAGCTAAGAGTCAAATTATATACAACAACCCTGTCAACATTTCACTTATCGATATTTAGTCAAATATTTGAAAACAAAATAATTTCAAAGTGATTAAACATAAAAGCAAGAAATAATTTCTTTGGCTGTTAGTTTCTATTTTTCACCTGAATTTTAATTTTTTTTTTTCCCAAAAAATGTTAATTGCAAACTCACTGCCATCGAGTCGGATCTGACTCATAGTGACCCCTCCTTGGGTTTCCGAGGCAATATCATTAGGGAAGTAGATTGCCCAAACTTCCTTCCAAGGAGTGGCTGGTGGGTTTGAACCTCCACCCTTCTGGTTAGCAGTCAGATGCCTTAGGCACTGTGGTGGTTATGTTTGTATGTCAGCTTGGCTGGGCCTGGTTGAGTGGCTGGGCAGCTGGTGGTAGTTATTCCGCATGATGAGACTGGCAATCCACTCCATGGTGGGGTCTACCACAAGTAGCTGAGTAGCTGTTTGGGTGTGTGGTCTGCTTCCTGTATATAAGAAGCAGCTTTGGGAATGGTCTCTAGCTTATGGCACGCTTGGACCCTGCATGTAGCCATGTCATTGTTCAGCAGCCTGCCATGCTCTGCCAACCTTGAGACTTATAATGGACTTAAATTAATGGCCTGCCATGTGGTCTGGTAACATTGGGACTGTGCCATTTTATTTGTTAACCTTGGGCTTCTCAGCTTCAGCAGCCAGCAGCTGTCTGAGTGAAAAAAAGCCTCTAGCTTCAGTGGGCTGGGAGCTGGAGGCAAAGCTGAAGCCCAAGGCTGAGGGGCTTTCACCCAGCCCCTAGAGCCTGGCACTTTGACCTTGGACTTAAAGCCTCCAAATTTTAAGAATAAACTCCTGTTGTTCAAACCATCCCATTTGTGCTATATTCTTGTCAGAGTGGCACTAGGTAACCAGAACAGGCAGCACGCCACTAGAGCTCCCAAAATGTTAATAGGCAAAGACAATTTTAAATTTTTGTATACTACTGCTGGGATCATTCATGTTTGCTGCATGATGTATTTTGTAAATGGTTGAGGCCAGAAACCATAAAATGCTTGCCTGTGGGTTATTCCTTTGGAAAGAAAGGATACATGACAAGTCAAGGGCCTTTTTGTACCTGCATGGAACTGAAGAACATGCCTATGTCTCTTTAAATCTATGCTAAGAGGGATATTTCTTAGTCCTGGATCTTAAAATATAGCCCTAAGTCTGGAAAGGAATCTCATCAATCAAATAACACTTGCTTTTGAGATTCTTCTGACAGGTATCCATACAGCTCTTACATGTTCTATCAAAAACCATTTCCTGAATTGTAGATTCTGGCAATAGCAAGCCACACACACACGGACAGCTGGCATCTCCAGCTTAGTACAGTGAAGAAATCAGTACTGAGAAAGGTCTGTGGAGACAATGTGGAGTTTTATGCCTGGAACTCCCAGAGCTCTCTCAAGAAGTTAGAATCTCAGCTATGTGCTCCCACTGTACCCTCTTCATTCCAAGCCTGATCCCATAGCACACTATGGTTGGTTTTTTTTGTTTTTGTTTTTGTTTTAGGTGAAAGTCTGCTTTTACAACTGGACTGGACACACCACTGGAGCACAGGTCCAGGCCTCCGTTGTTTACATTTGTGTCTCTAGTGCCTAACACAGTGCCTGGTACATACACACACTTGTTTAATGTTGAAAGAAGCTAGACAATCTCTCCCCCTGTTTGAGAGGAGATAGAGAGATTGTGTGGTACAAACAATTAACACACATGGCTGCTAACCAAAAGGTTAGAGCTTCAAGTCCACCCAGAGGCACCTGGAAAGAAAGGCCTGGAACTCTACTTCCCAAACATTAGCCACTGCAAATCCTATGGAGCACAGTTCTACTCTGACACACAGGGGGGTCACCCATTGACTCGATGGCAACTGAAGAGAGACTGTGATCTTGGATCACACAGACTACCCAAGGGCTTGTCACCTGGCTGCCCATCTCCCTCTACTCTCAAAGGCTGAGAGGGAATGGGGAGGGGGTCATGCTACATGTCAATGAGTGACTTAAAGTATGTATGTATCTCCTCTGGGTGGTCTAAGGAAATTTAACTGCTTCTTAAAGGGCTGAGGGTTCCATGAGTCTTTTCTGCAGCAAATCTGCAGAAATCTCTTTTGTAACACTTGCTAGAATAAATGAACACCTTTTGAGAAAGTTTTTAAGTTTTTTGGACTTGGGTGCACCTCTAATTAAATCCTCTCTGGCAGTGTTTCAAGAGCATCTGCTTGTTTTTAAGATTTCTCAAAGAAATTATGATTCTGCACCTAGTAGCATAAGTGTAAATTCTGTCTGCCTACTCTTTATTGAAGTAGGAGCAAACAGGTAATGTACTCAGGTGCTAACCAAAAGGATGGCAGTTTGCGGCCACCCAGAAGCATGTCAGAAGAAAGGCCTGGTGATTGACTTCTGAAAACTCTATGGAGCACAGTTTCTACTCTGAAAGACATGGGGTCGCCATGAATCAGAATTGACTTTTAAGGCAACTAGTATTGATACTGGTGCTCTTTATTACTTACAAAGCAAACAGATATTGCATGTATGAATCCCTCATCTATGGCTTTTATATCTACTTCTCTCATCTCCCCCAAATACTTGAGAGGTGCTTTTTAGAATAAACCAAAACCAAACTCATTGACCTCGAGTCGATTCCAACTCCTAATGACCCCATTGAGTTTCCAAGGCTGTAAATCTTTTCGGAAGCAGACTGCCTCATCTTTCTTCTGCAGAGCAGCTGGTGGATTCGAACCACTGACCTTTCAGTTAGCAGCCAAATGCTTTAGCCACTACACCACAAAAGTTCCTTAGTATTTAGATTTAACACTATATCCTTAATGTATCTCAATGGCTACATGTAAAATACCTAAATCCAACACCAACTTACCAGCTATTATTGATGGAAATAAGTTGTTTGCAAATTATGTTAAGGGGAAGTCCAAATTTATTGCTGTCATCTGAGTGCCCTTCACGCCAAAGCCTCTGGACATACTCCCGCTGACACTCTATCTGGAAATATAACATGAAAGTTAAAATTAGAAAAGTTCAGTTTTCTCATGGACATGAGTGATGACTCTAGGCATGAGAAGAACATGGTCCCTTTGCTTCTCTTCATGATTTGCCTAATTTTTACCCAGACATTATTTTGGGGATCCACTAGTAATCAGATACACTGGTCTCTCAGTCTGACTCAAGGGTCAGCCAAGGAAAGCAAAGGGATCAACTTTCAGACGGTTTTAAGAGGCAAAAAGAAACTTTCTGTCAAATAATTAGAAAGAAGTCGAACTAGGCTTTTGGTAACCGCACTGCAACCTTCCTTGTCCTGTGCTTACTTTGTGCCACTAGCTTTTCTCCAGAGGACATACCATGTAACTGTTTCCTTCAATGTTCTATAAACAGTCACAAAATTTTAAAAAATAATGAACAGTTTTATGCAATCATGTTTTGAAAAGGTCTGTCTTTAGACTTTCTTTCACTACTGATATAAGCTCTATGAGCTAGTGAGACTGAGGTTGTCCATTCCTCATGGGCCATTAAATGTAATTGGGGTTAGAAACTGCCTTTTCCAAACCAAAAACCCATTGCCACCAAATCAGTTCTGACTCATGGCAACCCCATGTGTTACAGAGTAGAACTGCTGAGCAGGGTCTTCTTGGCTGTAATTATTATGGAACCAGATTGCCAGGCCTTACTTCCACAGCACTGCTGAGTGGGTTTGAATTGCCATCCTTCAGGTTAGTAAACCAAAAAACCAAATGCACTGCTGTCGAGTTAGATCTGACTCATAGTGACCCCTTCTTGGTTTTCCCAGGCGGTATCACTACAGAAGTAGGTTGCCCAATCTTCCTTCTGAGGAGTGGCTGGTGGGTTTGAACTGCCAGCCTTCTGGTTAGCAGTCAGATGCCTTAGGCACTAAGCCACCAGAGTCAATAACAAAGCATTTATACAGCCCAGAGGCCTGAAACCATAGTAATGCTTGGAATTCAACAATGCAGATGAGTTCACAAATAAACATGCTGCACATGATTCTTTTGAAAACCAGGGGCTGGACATGCAATGCTCACTAAAGATTATGTCCAGTCCTGTTTTCCATCCTTTTCTCACATGTAAATTTTTAAGTCTGACTGTACTCATGTGAGGGACCTCTGGTGGTATAGGGGGTAAGACATTTGGCTGCTAACCAGAAGGTCAGTGGTTCAAACCTGCCAGCTGCTCTGCAGGAGGAAGATGAGGCAAACTACTTCCATAAAGATTTACAGCCTTGGAAACCCAATAGAGGTTGCTATGAGTCAGAATTAACTTGATAGCAGTTGTTTTTTTGGGTGCTCGTGTGTGGGAGCCCTGGTGGCACAGTAGTTAAAGCACTTGGTTGCTAATGGAAAAGTCAGGAATTCGAACCCACCAATTGCTCCACAGGAGAAAGATGTGGCAGTCTGTCTCTGTAAAGATTACAGCCTTGGAAACCTTATGGGACAGGTCTACCTTGACCTATAGGGTTGCAATGAGTCAGAATCAACTCAACAACAGTGGGTTGGTTTGGTTTTTAGGTACTCACCTGCTGGTTGAGGATGCCCCTCACCAGCTGCAGGTGGAGCCTCAGGCTGGTGCAATCATCTCTGTAGGCTTTAATGAAATAAGGGTGGCTGGGATCAAACCTTGGGCGCCGGTGCATGATGTCAGTGATGACTTGTGCTAAGGCAAACCTCTCCTCAGGGTCCAACACATGCTGGTAGGCTTCAAAGTAACTGTCAAGAAGCTGCAAATAAGGTTAGTAGTCAGAGAAGAGAAGAGGTGGCCCTGTAGCTGTGTGCTTTTGAATTGATTGTGACCTTACAGGAAAAAGGAGAACTGCCCCATAGGGTTTCCTAAGATGTAATCTTTACAGAAACAGACTGCCATGTCTTTCTCTCAGGGAGCAACTTATGTGTTTGAATTACCAGCCATTCAATCTGCAGCCAAGTGCTTAACCATTGGGTCACCAGTGTTCCTTAAGGCAGCTCCAGGGCCCAGAAAGGGGGGGTGAACCAACCCCATGCTTTAGGAAATCCCAGGACATCAATAGGAAAACACAGCTCTAAACCTCGGGGTACCTGGCTCTGACTAGGGCCCATGAAGCATCTCTACAACTCAGCACAATTAGTAAACCTACAGATAGAGTTAGGGAAGCACGGGGAAAAGAACACATGCTTAGGAGCTAAGAGACCTGGATTTCTACCTTGACCTCGCTCTTAACTCCAAGTCCCTTCCTTCTTCTCTCCACAAGTAAAAAGAGTGTTATATAATTACCTAGCTCTGAGACAATGCATTCAAAAGCACTTCATCAGGTACATTCATCTCAACCATCTTTCTCCACAGACCCATTCTTTTTCCTCCATTTTATTCTATCACTAAAACTAGGCAGGTGAACTCCTTCTCTTTCCTACATTTTCAGCCAAATTTCTGACCCTTTCTCTTCAGTAGATCACCTGGATAGTGCGAGCAGTTCAGTGTTTGGCTACTAATGGAATGAATGCACTGAGAGACACCTTGGAAGAAAGGCCTGGTGATGTAAATGTCACAGCCATTGAAAGCCTTTGGAGCAGTTCTCCTCTGTACAGATGGGTCACAAGGAGTTGGAGTGAACTCAACAGCAACAATAACGAACTCCGCAACCCGTGGTCATTGGTTAGATTCAAGTGAGGTGTGCTTCATGCTATATCTATTGTCGCCTGTGCCAGGGAGTCAATTTAATAGCATCTGCACATTCCTCCTTGTGTTGGGAATTCCTCCTTTCCATATAAAAAAATACTCAAGCACGTTTGATTGCATCCCCTTTTAAGACCTCATTTACAAAAATCCTTGAAGTGGAAAGCTATAGACAGCTTTAAATTTTGATGCCCAAATTGAGAAAAAAGTATAGAAGCAGTGAGAAAAAAAAACAAACAAACTGGTCCTAATGCTTGAAATCATCACCCACAGTGTGAAAATGTAACTCTTGGTTTTGAGTGTTTTGTTTTGTTCTAGTAACATAATGAATGTTAGATATTTAACATAAATATTAAGGCAAACTATGTGGTAGGGTTTTGTTGGTCCCTGACAGGAAAAATGATCCATTGCCCCTGGAGTGAGAAGCTGTACAACTGTGCACTGCCTTACTGAGACTCACCCTATAAAAAACTCAATGCCATCAAGTCATTTCTGACACATAGCGACCCCTTCTTGGGTTTCCAAGGCAGTATCTCAACAGAAGTAGATTGCCCAATCTTCCTTGCAAGGAGTGGCTGGTGGGTTTGAACTGCCAGCCTTCTGGGTAGCAGTCAAATGCCTTCGGCACTAGACTAGGTGAGTATAAACTCTCTATAGGGAAATGAAGTTAGAAACTCAATATGAGGTGTGTTGTGTGTGAGAATGTAGTCTAACCTGAAGGTTGGAGGTTCAACTCCCCACCCCTATCGCCACTCCCAGCAGCACCTTGGAAGAAAGCTCAGGTTATATATTTCCAAACATTAGCCATTAAAAGCCCTATGGAGCACACTTCTATTCTGATACACATGGGGTTGCCATAGTCGTAATCAACTTGACAGCAACTGGTTTGGTTTTTTTGCTTTTGTCTTTTTAATAGTTTGCCCAAATTTCACTTGTATAAAAGGTGGTGAAGGGTGTGGTTGAAGGGAAGGCTGAGGGTGAAAGTCCCCCCCGAACACAAAGTGATTTATCCCAGACCAACTCCATGAGAAAGGCTGACTATAGAATTTTCAAAAGACATGGAGGAAGAGTCCACGTACAAAGCCTCAGAGGAATTTCTGCTTCAGAAGAGTTAATATGTCTTTCCTAAAACCCAAAGAAATCTTCCAGATACTAACAAGTGAAGAGGTTCTTTATATGGGAATTCAGGAAAAAAAAAAAAAAAAAGCTTTATATTTTGCTTTTACATTTTTCTGTGAGCTTAAGGAATTTCTGTTCTCTGTGTAAATTCTATCTGTAGTAATTAGTCATGGTGCTAATCAGCAAAAGCTCTTGAGAGATCTCTGGGTTGGAATCCCAAACAGGGACCAGAGGGCAAGATAAGTAGTTCTGAGCAATGTGATTACTGTGTTAGGGTTGTTTGCTTTGTTTTGTTTTTCCAGTATTATTTTTATTGTGTTTTTGGTGAAGGTTTACTTAGCAGTTTACTTTCCTATTCATTAATTTCTACACAAGTTGTTCAGTGGCGTTGGTTACATTCTTCACAACGCATGAACATTTTCATATTTCCATTCTGGTTGTTCTGTTTTGTTTTAGGGTAGTTTTAAAATCTTCATAGGCCTTAGACACATTTACTTTTAGAAATACCACCACATATACACACAGCCTATCCAATGTATTAAATTGTATCCACATCCCAATCACATATTTTTTCCCATAAAAATTTTGGATGATTTATAATTTTGCTTTTTAAGTTGTTTGACTATGAGAAACTCATTTAGTTAATGTTTGGCTACGGCTTCTGGACAGTCTTGGTATATACTTGGGAATTCTTTTTTTCTTTTTTCTCCTGTGTCCTTCCCTCCCATGCATTCCTGCCCCCCAAGCTGTCTCCCTGTGCATACCCTTCTATTCTCCCATGATTGATCTCTCTATACTTGGGAATTCTTAAGAAGTGAGAAAATCTGCTCTATAAATTGTTTTCAAATGGAATAGAATGTTCATACGTAGTCAATGAACAAAGTTTTTACATTTTACAGACATGCAACTAAGCATTCATCGGCATGTGTTTTGTATTTCCTTTTCATATTTTGGAGTGATGTATTTTTTTTCCCAAAAATCTCAAACATTTCAATGACCCTTAAAGACCTCCTAAGCCCTAAGCACTGAGTCTGTATCTTCTGATGGATAAATTGGCCCGACTAGAAGCTTTTGTAGTAACTACAAGTTACTCCCAACTCCCACTGGTCCCCTAGCTGAACAAATTCCTGTCTTCTTTCTGCTGCTCCAATCTATCATGTCCTCATTCGGAGTTCATACTCTAGATGTCCTTCCCCAAGCTGTCTTTGTTGTCTAGCTCCCACTTCGGGATTTTACTCTTATGCTGAAAGACCTGAGTTCTTACATGTAGCCAACCACGTCATCACAAACACAGCCGGCATAGACTTGCCCAGTGTATGACCACCTTTAATATGCAGCAAGGAGTGAATTGCTGAGGTTTCAATTTCTACCAATCTGTCAGCCTAGCATACTTTTAGTCGCAGAAACAAAAAGTATTAGAGAAAGAGTATGTTTTGTTTCCTGGGCTGCCAGTCTTCTGGCTCTAGGCCAGAAAGTCAGTCTTTATCTTACCAAGTAAGGAAATCTCCTTAAAGAGATAAATATTGTTAGGTGCCAATAAGTAGATTCCAACTCATAAGGACCCTGCAGGACAGAGAACTGCCCCATAGGGTTTGCTTTTTTTTTTTTTTTTTTTTCTTTTTTTACTGTTCTCCACCCCCACCACCACCTTTTGCCATACTTGTGGGGCACAGAACTCTTTGCCTGGTTCTCCAAGTCTAGCCTTGTTAGGGGTTCTACCCAGTGAAGTTGGCCTCTCCGCCACATTTTATGAGGGTCTTTGCTCTTCCTAATTCTTCCCCTCCACCAAAGTTTTAGCCCCTAACTTTCAATATGGAAGAATGTCCCACTCTCTCCCTGGTTGCCCTCAAAAACACTCCCTACCCAAACTCTTAGAAGAACTTACATTTTTACTAATAAGAGAGTTATTGAATTCTAGAAGCTTCTGTTTTCTGAGACAAAGAAATTCTAGGAGACTAGTTACCTACCTTAAATTGAGGAAGGGACAAATATAAGAAGAAGAAAAATAAATCATGGGGATGAACCTTGAAAACATTATGTTAAGTGAAAGAAGCCGGACACAAAAGCTCATGTATTGTTTTATCACATTCTATGACATAGCCAGAATAAATAAACAGCCAGGTAAATCCATAGAGACAGCAAATAAATGGATAAATGCCAGTGGCTGTGGGGAGGGGAGAATAGTACTTAATGGGTACAGGGTGGTATTTTGGATGACGAAAATGTTTTGAGACTAAATAAGGGCAGTTGTGCAACAATGTGAATGTATTAAATATCACTGAATTGTATAATTTCAAATGCCTAAACCAAAAACCAAACCCAACCGGCAGTCAAGCCGACTCTGAATCATGCTGGCCCTATGCACTTACTGCAGAGTACAACTGTGCTCCATAGGATTTTCTTGGCTGTGATTTTTTTAAAATGCATTTTATTGAAATATAATTTATGTACAGTGAAATACACAAAACTAAAGTGACATGGGTCAATGCATTTTTTTTTTTTTTTTTGCAGTGTTCCCTCTCCTCCCCTCCCACCCCTGGCAAGCAACAAAGAAAGTTTCCCTTCATATATCAACCTTTCCTTGACCCTCCACAACAATGAACTAATTAATACCATATTCGTCCTTCTGTGATTGAATTATTTCATTCAGCATAATGTCCTCCACGTTCATCCATATTATGCAGTGTTTTGCAGACTCTACATTAGTCTTTAGTGCTGCATAGCATTCCAGTATGTGTATGTACCATAGTTTGGTCATCCACTCTTCCACTGATGGGCACGCAGGTTGTTTCCATCTTTTTGTTATTGTAAATAGTGCTGTGATGAACATGAGTGTGCATGTATTTGTTCCTATCCTGGCTCTCACCTCTCTAGGATATATACCTAGTAATGGGATAGCTGGGTCAGATGGTATCTCCAATTTCAGCTTTCTGAGGAATCGTCATACTGCTT